GTGTGTGTTAGTGCTTTCTTGGTGTGCGGTCGTCTCGTCTGGTGGTTATTGATTGGTTGTTTTTTTGAATGGCCTGGGGACCGCCGAGATCTAAACAGGGGAGATCGTCGGCAGCGTCAGATGGGTATAAGGGACCGGGGTGATGCTTTGTTCTTACATGTTCAAACTGCGCAGAGTACGAGCCTGGGGTGTCCATCAGGGGTAGATAGCACTCGACGATGCCGTTGGAGACGAGAGAGTTCATCTGGTAATTATCGATATGCGTTAGTTAATTCAACGGTGATCGAGTGAGTAAATAGTGTCAAGTCATCAATGCAGACTGTTTTCGACTTCTGTTTGTGTTCTCTAGAGATGGAGACAACGAGAAGGTTAGGGATAGACTCACGCCGGCCAAATACCTCTCGACGCCGAGTCGCTCGAGATAGCGACGGCAGAACGGTATGGTGCCAAAGTTTTCGCGGATCGTCCGATGCAGACGTCTCGCAGAGGCCAGGGACAGAGGTGTCGACAGCGGTGCGTCGTGATTCAGCCCATACCCATATACTCCTACCTGTTGGTACCTGTCAATACGAGTCTTTTGTTTTTTTTTTTTTTTAACATCGCATGATGAAATGAAACACCACGGAGGAAAAGGTGGGGGGGAAAAAGGGGGAATGGCTTACATCGTCCACCACATAGCCACGGCCTGTGGTGCCAAATGTCTCGATGGCAAAGACCTCGCCCTCTTCCATCTTGGTCTGGTCCGAGTTCTTCACAAAAGGGATGGACTTGCCGCCGTGGATGCGGTACTGCTTGATGTCATGGGCCGAGAGATTGCGCACTGGCTTGACGGGGAACGTCTTGCCACGGATTTCCACCTCGTGGCTCTCCATGACTTCTTGGATCGCAGCGCTCACATCACTGATGCGCACGTCGACTCCGGCAGTCTGTTTGAGCCGATGTGTTAGTCTGGCATGGCATAGCCCTCAAGTGCATACCATGTAGAGGAGCCCCGTACCTTTATTCCCGTATTAGTGGCATCCTTAACCGCGGCTAGGAGGTCATCGTGGGTGTGGTCAAAGGCCATGGTGAAGGCGCTGTCGACAATCCAGCCGTTGATATGGACACCAAAGTCGACCGTTAGGATGTCGTCTTGCTGGAGCACGACGTCCTTCTGGCCCGGATTGGGCGTGTAATGCGCGACCTGATTGTTGAGGCAGAGTCCCGTGGGGAAGCCCATGCCGGCCTTGAGGCTATCTCCAGGCTCCAGTCCTGTGTGACCAAGTAGAGCCCTGACACTATTCTCGATGCCTTCCGCAACCTCCAGGAGAGTGTGGCCCGGCTTCACGCATTCTTGCACCCACTGTCGAGTTTGGCGGTGCGCCTCGGCGGCCTTGCGGTAGTTCTGAAGGAAAGAATCATCTTGCCAATGGGAACGAGCTTCCTGACGCGCTTCAGCAGCGGCTGTGCGTGCTTCGGTGTAGCTCTGTATCTCGCCCTCGGGATACTGGCCAGATGAGAAGAGGTCGCTCAGCAAGACTGTCGGTGGCGACGACTGCTCGACAGAGGCCGGCGCCGGCACTTTCTTCTTCTTCTTGCTTTTCTTCTTGGGCTTCTTTCGTTTCTTCTGTGCGTCTGCACCATCGGTAGTCAAGAATGCCGCTTCTAGCGATCCCAGGGTTGTTGCCTCGGCCTCTGCATCGCTGGCGCCATCGCCGTCGTCGTCATCCCCTCCCCCAACATCGCCGAGACACCCATCGCCGTCTCTGGACATGTGAGAGCCTCGAGGCTCGCCGCCGACGCCATAAGATCCATCCGAGTTTGGCAAGTCTCCTTGAGGTCTCACGTTAGGCTACGTGCTTTGAGCGATGTCAGAGGAGCGTCACATACCGTCGTTCCTACGATGTTCGTTTTGAGGAGTTTTGGTTCCCATTTCGACATTCCACACAATAGAGGCATGCGATGTTGAGCGACTACGAGATCCTGAAAAAAGGACCGAGATTGAAATGTTATGGATGAGGTGTTTGGTGGTGATGGGATGTGGTTGAAAGGAAAATGCGATCACAAGATCAAAATTGATGCCTGCGATGACTAAGCGGGGTCACATTGAAGATGCCACGTGATTGGACATACACTAAAGAGGGAGCCAGGAACTGCCAACAACTATTCAATTAATTTTATGTTCTGATAAAGGAAATTCTCATGGCGTGGCTTCGGTAGGACAGTATGCATACTTTGTGTCCTATATCCTGCATTCCAACACTAAAAATGGGTGCGCAGACACTTGAAGCATCCGATGTCAAAGCCCTTGATATACTCAGGCTATCCCAACGAGGTAATCTTCATGGCATTGTCCAACAACTTGGCTCTCAATATTGCCCCCGGGAACTGCCGTAGGTTGACGCCATTGTTCCACTCGTCCTGATACGGCAACTGATTGACGATAACGTAGAAGTATCCGTCTTCGGCGACGCTCGCGCTGTCGGGCCAGAGGATCCTGGGATCTCTTATAAATCCATGGACCTGCAGGTCCGCAGGGTTATAGTAATAAATGGCGTTGTGGGTGGGCATGAGCATATAGATCAGACCGCGACTATCGCCCTCGAAGCCGTTGGCCTCGCCTCCCCGCTCACCGAGCCATGAGACGTTGTTGGAGGCAGCTTGCTCGGCGAGTGGACTTTGGCGGTCTTGTAACAGCAAATTAGCAGTCGGAATGCGGAAAAGGTTCTGCGACGTCAGTGGCGAGTAGTAGATATAGTCACCATCTGGGGAGATCTGGATACCATCAAGCCCTTCTTGCTGATGCGAGACACTCATTCCCGGGTTGCGGTAGTAGAATGGATGGCCCTGATAGCTTGGCAATGCATTGTACGTCCGCAGCACCGACGGATGTTGCGTCAATCTCCTCCAGGATGAGCCGTCTGTAAGATTCAACACTATGAACCCATTACGGCCTTCATTGCTAGAATCCACGATGTATGCGACGTTGTGGCTCGGGCGGAGATCGAAGCGGATATCGTTCATGTACGAGTCAGGATAGTGCACAGCTGACGGAAATGTGTAGGTCGCGTAGATGGTATCGTTGGATAAATTGACGCCCACGACCTTTGGCCCTCCTGGCTGCGCATAGGGCATGGTGTAGCTCCCGGAAGAGGACCGGATAGTCGGCCGACCTGTGTCCAACAGCCATAGTGTTTCAGGTTGCCCTGAAGAAGTCGCAGGAGTGATATACAGCGCTTGCACACTGATTAAGCCGGTCGAGTTCGCACTTCCGAACTCGATCCCATTGAAAGTCGTATTGAGTGCATTAGCAGGCAAATTCAACCCCGCAGTTGGGAAAGGCGTCTCCGAGGTCGTGCTGTTGACTTCAGCAACGGTATAGTCGTAATCCCCACGTGTGTAGCAAATAAAAATTCTCGAGGTGCTGGATACTGCGATGCCAATGGGCCAATATTTGTAGAAATAGTGGACTTCTTCAACCATAGGGCCGTAAGTTCCGTTGTCCACGCGCAGAATTGTGTCGAATCTGGAGTTGTTCGAAATGAGTCCCTCTGTGGAAATCGTGTTATCTTGAGTCAAGCCGGCATTTTGACCCGTTGCTAAGCTGGCTAACGCGAGGCTGGCGGCCCAGAGACTGGCTATGCCCATACTGCTCACCTCTTCAATATCGATGAACAGAAGTGATCACAGAGGAGAAGCACTTGGAAGAACAATGCCACTCTCCAGTACCTCTCTCCACTTACGGAAAACACCCGGTAACTCTTTCATCCATAACTGCGTCACAAGCGGAGTCACAGGCCCGGAACTGCCAAAAAGGGTATCTCAACCAAGTGCAACATGCTGATTCCGGCAAAATGCACGGTCCCCAAGAGGTGCTAGGGCTTATGAATGTACACGTCACGAGTCGTGCGGATCTGCAAAGAGGTTACGTCGGTCGTCATTGATTTTTGTGTGGCATCAAGAAAGAAGCTGAACGAGGCTGCGCTTGTCCTTATTAGTTGAGACCTTGCACTGCAAGGCTGCCCGCTTTTATACAACAGAGCCCATCAGTACCAGAGACTCCATGTCCCATGCCTCTAGATCTTTCTCGAGGAGCTCCACGTTTTACCCATTTGGGTATCTCCCATAGGTGGCTCAATCAAAACATCTGTGCTCAAATAGAGCAAATCAAGTGTCCTTGATGCCTACTTATAACTGAGAAGCCGAACAACGCCCTCAGGGAATCATTAACCAGGATCTCCATTAATGTCTATTATGAAGCAGAACCAGGCCAGGAGTCGATGCTCAACTTGGCCCATCCGCCAGAAGCTCATGAGGAGAAGGCATAAGGTACCTTCCCGTGGGATATCTCTGGATCCGTTCAGAGAGCCTCGCCGCCTGTGTCGTGCTTTGCAGGCCGCAAATATGTACATCCTCCCCGGACACATTATCTCGTGGCCTAAGTGGACTTCTGATGAAATGGCCTTCCTGTAATCGCTGTTGAGATCGTCTCCAACCGGTGGATATCGTAGTACCTCCTCATTATTGTAGAATAGTCGCCCGTTGTCCTTTTCTATTTGTATTCTTTTGCCGTCGTCGTATGCCTGGCCGAAAGGGTCCCCCCCCCGGATGGTTTCGTTCCGTGCAGGCGTGAACCAGCATCAATATCCCGTATTATACCGAAGTGAACCAATATCGAATTAATCGCCAAAGCCATCCAAAACGATCATCGCCCATTACAATGGTGGTGCATCTCCATTTCGAAGTCATGCAAGTAGTGGGGTTTGTCGGCAATGTACACTCATCTCCAAGACGACATCAGCGTGTAATGATAATCTGGAAACCGTCTACCCAGGCCCCACAGCTTCCCGAAATCCCGGCAAGACTGTACCCTCGGGGCGCCATCAAAGTATGTCTGCGGACTGGTTAGAATATAGGAGGCGAATGGAGCAGGGACCGCTGTCACATACCCAGAGCCTCCAGTCGCATTTCCAAAGACACCGGATCTTCGGCCAGTACTGGTTAGAATCTCAATACCGTCGACCCAAAGACCAGCACGCAAATAGAAGCCGAGGATGGTTTCACCACGACGCGTGTCTGTGAATGTTAGTCCTGCGAAATATCACACCTCGACGCGAACTCACCGAGGAAGAATTCGTCGCCACCGGGTTTGCCACCCCTCTTGCCAAACAGTTGACTGTGGCCGTCTTCGTAACAAAATTCAATGCCGTCTAGGGCAAAACCATGATAAACTCTGACAGATGTCAGAAGCTTCGTCTGGAGATGAATGCTTTCTAGGATCAGCTCTTGTGGCTGCGAGCCGTCCAGCTGGGAATGCCCGAGCTTCTTGCTCCGAAATCCGAGTCGTGATTCAAAGGACTTGCCCAGTCCTACAACGTTGTTCAGCGCATTCATCGTCAGGCCTTCGTCACGTTTTGGTGCCTGTTTGACATGGGGTAGGTTCACTACATATTTCTTTGACAAGAGGTCCTCCAAATCCTCGATCTTTTCACTCCGGGAACTAGCACAGAAAATGATAAGACACAATTTGGCCTTCTTCTTGTCTTCTGGTAGACGTGCGCGAATGTCGGCTTCTACCACGGTGATTTGTCTCGGAATCGCGCTGTGCCGAGGATCAGCACTGGTATAGTCGATCCACTGCCGGCATAGATCGTCTCCTTCTGTCCGTATCTCGATAAATGAAATCCCTGAAGGGGCGGAACAGATTACGCGCCCGTTGCCGACTGGAAAATACTGAATGCTGTCGTCTTGTGGTAGAGGTTCGTCGCTCGGGAGTCTGAAGCAGGGATGGTACCGGAAACGCAGCACGTCCAATCGATGCCAGCCACACTCGTCTTCTTGACGACAAACTTTGAGACCTTGGGATTTTGTTCTCGTCGAGTAGGGTTCTTTGACCAAGAATGTGCGGTTTAGTCGGACATAGTCTCTGAGCATAACTCCGTTTTCTTGATGTGGACAGCCGAAAAGATGACCGACTTCGTGCAGGTGGGCGCCAATACCGATATTGGCAGCTTCCCAACTGCTGCCGGACTCGTTACAGTCATTTGCCACATACTTGGTGTCCGTTCGTGTGCAATCCATAAAGGATGGCACAACTTCTTCAATGCAAGAGGGATAGCTCTGAAGAGCATGCGAGCCGAAAATGGCCAGACCCAAGTCGTCCCCGATACCACCGAGGGCGGCATGAGCCCTGATTGTTCCGACTTCGGGGTCCCAGTGGGAATCAAGAAGGAGGCAGGCCACGTGCTGCTTCTGACCGGGCCTCAGGTTGAAATACTTCTTCACGGCGTCCGCCGCGATCGAGTACAGCTCCCCCTTTTTGGCTGCTGGCGAGTGTTGCTGCGCATACTGTAGATCCTGCAATTCTGCAGTGGTCTTGTCCGCCCGAACAACATGAACCCTAGTCTCATTCTTCATGATGCCCATTTCCCAATCCCGCATCGAAAGTGTGCCAGTCTGCCACTCTTCCTCAAATCTAAAGCATCTGCGGCCAAATTTGTGTCGGTACATCTGTTCTGCGGTGAATGTCTGCCACAGGTGAGCAGCCATGCGGAATTTTCTGGTGGCCATGGATAGGTCATTGCCCTCGTTTTGTATCCTCTGAGGGACTGCGTCATATGTACAGGGAGAATCACTACCAACCAGGATGACAAGCTGTAGAGGCGGTGCGCTGTTCAGCGGCAGGTAGTTCAGCATAATGTAGGAAGAGTGCATCATTGGCGCGGATCCAGCGCTGTGCTGGCTCAATGTCGGGGAGGTAAAGTCAAAACGAATCCTGTTCCATCCGGGCGAGAGGTAGACGAGAGCTTTGAAGTACGAGTCGGACACAGGCCAGTTTGTGGGTGGGAATGCCTGCCCTTCCTTGTCGTGATGGACGGTCAGATTGCCATCCAAGGGTTTCTGATTTGGATCCCCTATTTCTCCGTTGACCAGCAATACTTTGTGGTAGACCTGTACGTCGTCTTTAAGCCATGTATTCCCGAACTCGCTGAACCAGTACATACCACTGAATTATCCAAGACGGAAGTGATTTTGGGCGCATATGCAGAGGTCGGTGGAGGGATCCTTGTCCCATTGGAGCCAGAAGGTGACAGAGTCTGCTTTTGTTCAGCCCATGTGCAATACCTGGCCGGGGTTGTTCCAGAAGACTTACTATCATGCTGTTCCTATTGGAACTTGGGACCATCACTTGAGGCCGCTGAGGGACCGGTGGTGGGGTGTCGCCATTGCTCTTTACCGTGTCCAAAACGTTGTGTGAGGACCCATTGGCATGATATGTCGAAGGTGGTGTTGCGCTCCCAGGGGTGGAGTTGAGAGTCGAGGACGATTTTGCGGTCGGAACGGTGCCATTGGATTCTGTTGAAGAGTCGGAGGTTCGGAAACTTGCTTTTGATCGTCGTCGCAGCTCTTTGAAAAAGGGCATGGCTACTGACGAGGGGAATGAAGGCGAGGACGATTCAACAGTCAGTCATAGATCTGACAGACTGCGTGAGGAAGTGGGCTGGTCGACGGAATTGAAACGGTGTGGTTGATGACGCCGGTTGGTGAGAATTAAGGGTGGGATGTAACGACCGCATGCACATGCATGTGCAATGGAGCTTTTTTCCGAAGTGACACTTGGCTGCAAGGGTCTCACTGCAGAAGCAGAACAGAGCAGACGAAGCTTCGCTCAGACACTTTGGACGGACAAACGAGCGACCAGGAGAGAACGAAGAAGTCGACTAGGACTGGGGTTGAGGACGAGGGTGAAATTGTGAAAGAGGAAGAGCGATCGGTAGTTCGTCTAGAAGCAGCAAGCTGAAAGAGGACGACAAGAAAGTGTCATTGCCCGGACCTGCGACCTGGCCGACACTTGCAACTATGGGATATTCTGGGTCGTAGCGGACGGAAATGCAGTATGCAATATGCAGCTTTTTCTTTTTGCACCAAGTGGAAGGACAGGTTCGAACAGGTTTGGTGATTGCGAGACATGCGCTGCCGCCAGCAGGTGCGATTCGCCAGAAGCGGCACCAGGCAAGCCAGGGAACCACGGAACCAGGGCTACAAGTGCAAGGGCAGCAGAGCAATCCGGGCCATTATTGTGCAATCAACTTGGCTGAAAGCCACAAGCATTGCGATAAAGGTGGGGAATTGGAATGTGTAGAATGCGCAATCCTCGAGCTGTACCAAGTTTCTCGTACCTCATCCTTGGGAATACCTAGGCGTGCCTGGGCCACAGTGGACTTTTACCCACGCACCACGGCACACAATGCGCTCCTGTTGGTTTTGGGTGCGCCAAGGGGGGCCATTATAAGGGCTGAGAGCACCGAGGGGGATTGTTAGTTAAGCAAGTTAGGCTCTTTATGGACTGGCGTCCCCGGAAAAGCTAGGTATTTGTGGGCATGGTGGGCATGTTTTACGGCTGATGACGTAGAAGAAGCAGCTTGGAACTGCACGAACATGTGGTTGGCGTAGTGCCCAGAGATAAGTCGGCATTGGCCCTGCCATTTTCTCCGTCCTCGTCCAGCAACTACTCAGTATGTCCCAATGAGGAACAGATAATCTCTACCTCGAACCTCCGTATATTTTGAGTTGGTGCTGGAGCTGGATCTCTGATCTGGACGAATATGAGTAGAGCCTCATTTTTCCAAAACAATCAGGGGAAGGCTGAATGCTTGTTCTGAGCTTCTATCCGAGAAGAAGACGGCTACCCCTGCTCAAAGGGGACATCAAAAGTGTAATTTGAGAAGAACTCCATACAGTGGATATGGAAGGCCCAGGAGTTCGACTCTGTAGAGCATATCCATTCTGTGCTGCTCTCCTGCTAGAGATCCGCTGAACGGACTCACATATACCGAGCGCAGAGTACGCTGTATACACAACATGTCTATGGAGAATTGATTGTGCGTGGAGGTTCGCAGGCTGGACGGTTCTGTATAAACCTATCAACATTGGTTACATGGGAAGTGTCAGAAATGCCTTACGTACATACATTCAGACTCCGTATATGCCATGTCGATGGCACCTACAATTCCTCCGTGTCTTTGTCGCACGACAATCCCGAGGGTTGTCAATCCCGAGACTTAGTTCTCCATGGTAATTTTTCATATCCGGATCGGGGAGCCGAAGATGTTCCTTTTTGGTTCTCTAGCATCTTCTCCTGATGGCTACCTCTATATCCTCCGAACTTAGCATTATACTTTTCACGCAGGTACCCCGAATATGATATTGATCAGCGAGGTATCTGCTTGAACCTGGATCAGGGGGGGTAACCCCTCGATCAAAGGTCGACCGTTATCCCCTTCAATGTGGGCAGTAATGAGGTCTTGAGTGAGGTCAGTGCGGCTCTCGGTGTCCACTGCCCGATGCCTGGACTGAGAAAGCTACACTGCTTTAGGGAGGGACCAGTGGTTATTCTTCCCCAGATCTTTAGCTTGTCGCTGACACCCGTGCCCGAGATGGAAAAGGAGGAAATTTGTGACACGGCTTCTTCCCTCTCTGGCTCATCAAAGCTACTCGTATGTCCCAGCCGTGTCATAGAATCTCGGAACAAGCAGATCGACTTGTGGTCGTGGCAGTGGACCCAAGGAGGGGGGTTGGTTCAACCGGATATGAGGGCACACGAGACACAGAGACCGGCAGTCTGGTCTGCGAGTAGGAGTACGAGGTAGGGGTAGGAGCACCGAATAGTCGTAGCAGTACCTGCAGCCGCCAGATCAGAGGTGATCAAGGTGATTCTGAGGATATGGGAAACACAGGCACGCAAGTCACAGGCGTCAATTGGTCCTGTGCAAACATCGGTTTGAAATGGATTGAGGATGGCCGGGTCGTATGGCTGGAGGAAGCTGAGGAACCTGCCAAAGGTGCATGCGACCAGCAGAGGCCAATTTCAGAGCCAGTCGGTAAGCTCCAAGCAGGAGTCTCAGTTAAGAGCGTCGGCCATGCGTAATTAGCAGCTAAGAAGCCAATGAGTTTGACACCATCACCAGCCACAGGCGAGCCGGAGCTGCAAATGGACGGCCTCAATCCACTTGTCCTTTAGCTGCCTTAGTGGCTCTTCACCCAGAACCTGCCCGCCAGTGTCAGTGCTTGCAGCATCGGCTCCAACGAGGGCACCCCCTCGTCCACCCTCCACCAGTTGCCGCTCTGAGTCTCTGAACTGCCTCCAGTAGTAGGAGTAGTGAAAGCCTACTTGTACAATATGCCGGTGAGCCCAATTAACTTAATCCAGCCCATTCACCGTGGTTGTCAAGTTCGCTGCCACCAAACGTTCCTCTACCACTAACTAACTTACTCTACCTACTCTCCTTGAACTTATTGCTCAGCTGCCGTCCACCTTCTTTTTCTTTCCTCTGCAACCTCCTGCTCTCTGTCCTTTCATCCTCTACACCTCCGTCCGTTTCGACATCTGATCCTCCAGCATGACCTCGATCCTTCAGTGAGCCGAACTGGACCCGAGCACCACTCATTCAACATAGCGCAGTCGCACCCGGCTACCCTGGCGCTGTGGCCCCACGAATTGCCAGCCCGAGTCTGGATCCATAGTAGGAATTAAACCAGCTCGACTACAATTCTTTCCTAGCCTGCGCATTGACGTCTCGGGGCAACACCACACATATTTGGCAAAATCCTCACCCTTCTCCTTCTTAAAAACCCCCTCGGAGACCTATCCCTCATGCTGGTCTCTCATACTCTTTGCAACAACATGACCTCTGACCAGCATCCACATGCTGCGGCTGAAGTAGCAGAGAAGGTGCTGCGAAGGGTGGAAATTGCAAAGGTAACTCAATCCCAACTCTGCTCACAAGATGTTCTCTGGGGGGAATCCCCTTTCCTGACTGAAGTTGCTCCATAGGTTGCTCGAAACCTCCAAGACTGTTTGGCTTTTGCAAGCTTCAAGGCCCAGAATGGCTGGCAAGATCGTACGCTGGCCTCGATCGAACCCGAGTTCACCGAGAAGCTGAAGAGAAAGAGACCGTTTCTGGAGGAAGATCTACCTTGTGATACCTCGTCTGGATCCGACGACGAATTTGTCCCTACCTCGTCAATTGCCAATAATCGTTTTTCGAAGCCCTCCAGCTCTGCCTTTAAAATCCCCGAGCCTCCATTCGCTGCGAGGAAAAGAGTCCGGTCGTCTTCTGTGACAGGCCTGGACAGACAGTCAAGCACGTTGACATGGAAGCAAGATCACCGACTGCCCCAGTCTTCTCCTCTATTGAATCGGGCACAGTCCTTCCAGGAGCATCCACTCTTTCATAACGACTCTGCTAGAACGCCTCGCCTTGCTAATGACGACTCTCCCATGTTTGATGTTCACTCCGATGACGAAGATCATGACCTGGCCATGCCTGCATTTGGCAACGAACCGTCAAGCAGTATTTTGTCCTCGTCACCTCCACGAACACCTCCTCCCACGAAACGCTTCTTAAATGGCAACTCCAAGCAATCTGGGGCCGATCTCCTACTCTATCTGGCAAATTCACCCTCTAGGTCACCAGCTATCAATATCCACAGAACCTCGGACTCGTCGAAAGAACCACCCTCGACACCACCTTCGCAGCATTCACACCTCCCTTCGTCAGTAATGACCACTCCAGGCACTCATCTTGGGTTGTTCAACGGCGCTCTACAAACTCCAGGCCAGAATTTCAACCTGGCCGACTTCTGCAATGTCACTCCTTCACCTGCACCTGCTCAGTGGGGCAACCGGACTCCCACCATTAGCAAGACTCCCAGCCGGTTTACAAGAGCCAGTCTGAATTTTGATACCTTGCAGCCTCCGTCCGGCAGTCCCACCTTGCCACGAAAGGCTCCGACCAGCCAGGGACTGGCTCTGCAACTGGGTGACGAACTGATTCCAAGATCATAAACCACACCATAGCACTGCTATTTCTATGGCTATGACCGGATTCACACACACCACCCTTTATGATAAAACACCCAAAGGCACATGCTCAGCTGTGCCACGACCTACTCGACTTGAAACGAATAGCATAAAGTGTCTTTTTCTGTCCAGCAATGACGCATACATGACCCCAAAAGAGGAGGGCCATAGATTTGAGCTTGAAAAACATGGAGCGGAGCTGGATATCCGGGAAACGCAAAGGCGTTATTTGCCCAAGCAAAGGAACTGGCCAGGAGCAACTCTTTTGTTCAGCAAAATGTGTTCGATTGTGCGCGTCTCTCTGTTTTTGTACTCTGCGTTGATGTGGTCAACTGGATCAGTCACGTGTCTACGGTCTATCCCAACCCCTGACGACGACAACATCCTAATATTCCATCATCGACATCGTAACAACACAGCGATAGCTGAAGTTTAGGTAGCTGAAAGTAGGTAGCTCTGAATCAAAAAAAATACGACCATTATCCTTGTTCCCTTCTGGCCATTCCTTTGGACTGCTGTTGCCGCTCTACGGGACATCACAGATCACTTGGCTTCAGGCCATGGATCGCGTGCTCCAGACACGGCATGATACAAGAATCAATCGAGGTCATGTGCATGCATCGGCCAGGCTCGTGGCGCGTCCCAGAAATTGAGGCGGCCATCTAGCCAGCGCCACGGTCGGTTTAAACGGCCGTCTCAGGGCATCCGTTCTTGGAGCACTACGTCAATACGAGTAATATTGTGCTTCACCCGTGCCGCACTGGCGAGAGGCCGGTCAGCTGGGAGAGGGGGACCTTGGTTTAGCACTTCCTCATGCAGGCACTTTACTCGCACAGCGGCAAACGATAGTTTTAAGGCCGTGGAACTTATCTCCACAATCAAAGGGACCTAGTAGCTACGAGTATTCCTGGGGGGCCCGACAGGCTTGATACTACTGCACCAACTGTCATGGCGACTGGGGATGTGGAACAAAGTCGAAACCCAACCAAGGATGGGCCGCAATCCAAGCAACTCACTCTACAGAGTAACTCCCCGAACGAGACATGGGGCTCGACTAGGTTGGGTATGTGATTACTTGTGGTACTTGTGAGAGGAGGGAACAGAAGGATCAGCAAGTTTGAGTAGCAAGGATGACTTTTAGGGAGCCGGATCACATATCCTATCGAAGGCCTGCATGGAAGCCATGAGATGAGATGACAGATGGCTGCATTTTGGGCTTGCAGCAAACAAGCGAGGCCGGTGCAAGACATACCTATGCATGAGCTCTCGTACCGTTGGCCTTGGTGCTGCGTGATCATGCCATGCCATGCAATGCCATGCTATGCCTAGCATACATACATACACACGCAGCCGTAAAGAAAAAAGTCAGCTCTCCGTTCTCGGTCGCAGTCACAGTCTGGATTGATCATTGTCGGACGGCACAGCGTTCTGCCACGAACAGATCCCAGTCAGTGCCCAATCCCCACCGACTACTGTTTCTATATCGATGCAGCCCCAGTCCTCGGGAGTATTTCTTATCAAACGGGCGTTTTGTGGAAAGTACGAGGTAGGCAGTGGGAAATGAGATTCGCTCTAAATAGAGAAAGGGAAAAGCGGGGACGACATCCTGACCTTTTGACGCGTCCACAATTATTTATTTTTTCCCTTTTTTTCCCCGTCCGGCCTTGATTTTCTTAATTCATACGCTACTCAATGAGATTCCATGCCTGGGACTCTTCATTATCTTGCACACATATTAGTTGACCAAGATAATCCATTCGAATCCTGCCTTTCTATGGGAAATTATCTGATCGAAGAACGACGTCTCTTTCTACCGACACGCGTTCGATCGTCTCGCAGATCCGCGCTCGCGTACTTAGCGCGTTGCACTAGCATCTTATTGTGGATTTCGCGGGGCTCGCCGGAGGATGGGTGGCTGGACTTCGTGGGAGAGAGCTTCCAGCTGAAAAATCACACATGCGGCTTTGAGCGTGGCACCAGTGGCAAACCAAACCAGGGTGCGATGACGGTTGGTCCTTCGTACAAATACTTTGACAAAGTTGCCTCGGGCTACACCACGAGTGTCAAGCTAAGGAGGGAGCTCGTCCGCCCAGTCACTCACACTCGCCCAGTCTGATGATATCGTCGTCTGAGTTTCTTCCTAGTCCCGTGATTACAACCAAGGATGCCAGGATGCGTGGATGCCCACGATGGCGTACCCCATACCCATGCAAGCAGCTGGAGGCTGCAGACACTGTAACCCAAGCGCGGCTCAAGATGCCGTGCGTGGCCTTGGACCTTTGACAGCTTATGTTGGAGCCAGCCTCCGATCACAGCCGCCCCTGCTCATATGCTAAACGTCTTGGAGTGCCACTTTCCGCGAGCTACGAGTACCTAGAAACAGCTGGACAAGGTACCTTTTCCAGATGATCATGACCATTGTTGAGGTAGGCTCGCATGAGAAGGTTTAGAAGCGACCCTAGACAATGCCTGAGAGCACACCACTTTGACTCAACCTGTTTGCTGGGGGTGCTTCGCAAGGATCGTGGCTCGCCTAGCCAGCCCCTCCAGTCACTTTATGTCAAACTCGGATGGGCAAAACACTACACATGTATATGGGTGTGCCGTGCCGATATATCCCTGGCACACAATGCATTACTACGTATAAGGACCGAGCACTTGTTCAAAAACACGTTTCAGCCATTGACTCGGGACACAGGCAGAAAGGAAAAGGCATTGGCTGATACCCTCGACTTTCCAAGCATTTTGTCGCCCGTGTCACCAAGTCGATGGTGCAATAATACAGTCAAAAGTGTCTAGAGATTCCACTCTGAAGGTCTTTGCATTATTTGCCTACCACCTACCTAGGTGACCGAGGTAATTAATTACTAGTAATTGTGGACATGGTTGTGCCCGATTCGATATCGGGATGCCGAGTCAGTAAGTCACTCAATGTCCTCCTCGTCATTAATCCCTGCGCTTGGCTGCATGTACCTCGTACGCTTTGACAATGACGATATTCTGTTCCGCTCCTTCATTGGGTCGGGGCTAAAAGGAGGTTGCTGTACAAAATAGCAGTGCGCGAAGTGAGATGAACGGTGTGACAAGCATGAACTCGGCTCTTTGTCAGTGCTTGATAGACATCTTGACGTGCATTTGATAGGGAAGCGTTTGATTCCATTGACAGACTCCCTCGGATCATGTGTCGGAGATCATGTCTTCTAGCGTTTCGAAACAATTCCTCGTTTCTTCATCAATCGTCACACTCATCTAGAATCTCTCGAACCCTTTGTGCTAAGACGGCATTATCTCCTGACGACTCTCTCCTCCCACTGCACCCCAACCCATTCCTCCCTGAAGGAGACAGCCCCCGCGTCACCACAGTTGTTCACACACGTCCCCACGATGATTGTCCCCCACTCCATACCGTCTTCCAGGCCCATGACGTTCTCGTCGTCCTTTTCCAACTCGTAGATCAAGCCCGGCACAAGTTGTAGCTCAAACACCCGTTGACTACCGCAACTCTCGCATCGAGGTATTCCCTTCACTGGTCCGGTTCTGCCGTGGGGCACGGTGAAGCGGGTCGCCACCTCGTCTGCGCCAGAATACAGCAGTGGTTCACCCTTGAACTCGTACCGTAGGACTTGCTCCGGGTTCTGGGCGATACGGTCGGAGAATTTTTGAAAGGTCTTGTCCAGGCTGGATTCGAACGTGTCTTTATCCGCAGCGTTGCTGGAGCCTCCTGCGTCGTCAATATCATATTGTGTCTTCGAGGACTCTGCTTCTGTGGCAGCGGCGGCAGGTTCTCTGTCCAGCTCCTCCGGATATGCGTCGAGGTAGAAGGATGGGTAGGGTTTGGGAAACTCGGTGAGGTCCGGCCACGGTATCTGGTCCTGTGCGGTCTTCTTGGTGCCTTCGTCCTCCGGTTCGGTGCCGATTCGTAGTTTATCTGCGAATGACTGTGTAGGAGGTTGAGGTTGAGGCTCGTCGCGCGGTTTCTGCGGAGGTAGCGCTGCCAACTGTGAAGGCGAACCTATGCTCGCAAATGGGTTTGCTGTCGCGGGCCCATTCGTGCTGGCGGGCATCGAAAACGGATTCGCACTGCTGGCTGCGGATTGTTGCCTTGGCCCGCCAAACAGAGCACTCCCAAGGCCCTGTACCGGGGCCACTGTCTCTGGCTCTATCGCCTTTTGTTTTTGACTCTTCTCTTGCACCCTAGGCTTCCTGACTTCCCGGAACGCCCTGACACTGCCCACCTTTTTCGAACACTGTTTCTTCCTGCAGCAGAGGACATGAAGGCGCCGGTCGTCGCTGGGGAAATACTGTTGCAGATCTGCATTGAGCTGGAGGAGAAGGGACATGTAGCCGTTGCAGACCTTGCATTTGGCCAGTGCCGCAGGCGGAGGGTGACTTGAGTCTAGCCAGGTGGGATGGCCGCCCAAGTGACTGACGTCGTCGCCCGTCGACTCGACAGTGGCATAACCGAGCGTGACGTTGGTGGTCGAGTAGTCCTCGCCATCGTCCGAGGAGTCGCTATCGTAGGGGCCCATCTCGCGGGACAGGCAGATGTAGCGACCAAGCTCGCTGCTGATTATCCCGATACCTTTTTTTTTGGTTGTCGCTGTGCAGTGCCAGATTCGTCTGAGGGGAATTTTCCACTCCGCAAACCCTTGTCTTTCTGGGGGAAGATGATTGGACTCGGATTAAGGTGTGTTCCGCGCGGCAGCTAATCCGTATACGGTAAGACTGACAGGATCATCACACTAGGATTACCTCGTTCGGCGTACTCGGTACGAGTAGTATTAACCTAGGTTATTGTGAGCATTTCTCTGGCCATCTCCTCCGCATTTTTCTTGGTCGGAATCCTTCTCGTCCCCTGCATCCTCGCTGTCAAATACTCCATCGAGGACCCCTGGCCTCTTGTTGCTGTTCTCTCCATCAACTTCTCCCAATCATTCATCCTAGCAACTCTGCATACTCCTCATTTGCCTATTCTATCCACGTACTTACATGATCGTCCGCTTGGCCCGGTGAAGCCAATCATCCCGTGTATCACTCCTGTGTCCCGTAATCCTTTCCCCGCGCTGAAGGCGGGGAATCCCTGTTGAAGCAACGTCGAGGCCTGACCAAAGCATCGGGCGATAAAAAAACGCCCGTGTATTCATACAGACCCCAGGTCTGCCCGGCAGAACTCCTAACATCTCCAATCTCTCCCTCTCTCTCTGTCAGCTGTTCCATTCGACCTCTCAACGCGAAAGAGCCAGAAGGTATCCAACATGTCGACACACAAAGTCTCCGCCGTCACCATCGACGAGTACGAATTCCCCACGGGCGGCCACGCAAGAGGTTACCTGCTATCCATCGCCCTGATGATACTGTCCGCCCGCCGCAGATTCATCGAGCCAGGCTCCATTCTTCACGATCAACTCATAGCCAGGAGCGCCACCGCCAGCAAATACGCCAAGCGCACCCAAGACGTCCTCTTCTACTTCCTCTATGGTGCGCATAGTATCGAGGCCATCCACTTCGCCCTGACGAAGCTGAGAAAGCACAACGTCAAGGCTTTCAGCCTGCCCTGGTTCCAGTGGATCATCGCTGTGTTTGTGGGAGGAGTCAACGCCAAGAAGCATTTCGACGCCGTTGTGGAGAAGAAGGAACTCAAGACTATCAAGGAGATCTAGAGGAGGAAACGGGATGAGGAAGATTTAGGACGAGTTGGTGTCGACCTCTATGAGGGCAAGGTTTCCTCTCGATGCTGCGAGGGTGGGCAAGCGGGAGTTTTCTTGGAGGATCTCCATCTCTTGGAAAGAAATGCTGAAGTATAAGAATCCTGGAAAAACAAAACAATCGCTGTCGGTCTCTTGATGGGGAACAAATGCTTTTGACCCACCGCGGCCGTCCATTGGTCAGCCGTCCGGTGGTAAAATACCATTTAGCCGACCAGTTCGTGCCATATTGATGTTTATGCATATACACACCTTCACCCCATCTTTCTTCTTCGCAAGGCTGACGTTTCCTGGACTCAAGGCACCATAGCTGAAGTGACATTTCCCCCCTCCACCACTAGTGAGTCCGAACCATCTCATGAACTCAGACGCGGCCGCCAAGACGTCAAACAACTGGTTCCGTCCATGTCGAGGTCCTCTTGAACCACGCTTATTTCGACTCTCATTTGACCGCATTACATTGCTCCCTTCGTCCCCTGCCAAAGACTCATCCGGTGCTTGAATCGAGCGGAAATCAGACCGGAGAGCGCCGCTGCAAGTTCTTGTCAAGAGAAGCGACCACCAGTAACCTTCAACGACAATGGCCAGCCTCACTCGTGGCAGCAAGGCGAGGGGCTTCATGTCACTCCCCGCCGAGGTCCGACTGAACATCTACGATCTGTCAATGTCGAGTACGATGCTGATCAACCTCTGCCAGTCGCCTTTGCTAGAGCCGGACCGTCGCCACTCCCGAAAGGGCTCGCCTATCTCAGAAATGTCTCTGCAAATATTGGCCCTCGAGACCATCACCCGTAGCCATGGTCTCCACCTGCTCGCCGTCGGTGACCCCGTCAGAGGCGAGGTGGAATCACTACTGCGCCAGCATGTGGTCCGCTACCACTGTCCGGACTGCCTGACTCGATGGCTGCGGAACATCTCCTATGGCTTGAGCGTGCGGTTCGACTGGGTGGAAAAGCTCGAGATCATGTACGAGACCTATCGCGACGAAATGAGCGGGTTCAGCATGGTCGAGGACTTCTACTTGTCCAGACTGGCTGCCCGCGACATGATGGAGCGATACCAGGCGATCGTCTCCACTTACAGTGGCCGCAGGGATCTTGTACATCCTCCCAGGACATGGCATTTTGAACTATTCATCGAGGTTCCAGAGGAGCTTCTGGTGAGCACAGGGCCGCTGGAGCCAGGAATATCGAGGCATAGCACGCGGCTCCTGCCAGAAAGCGTGGCTTTTTTGCCCTCGCTGGACTTTGGTGGGACCTTCAAATGGATTATGTGTGGGACGGCGCACCGTGAGAGTTGATTACATGACGGAACAACATAGAGCAATCGACAAAAACGGAATGGTCGTGTGTACCTGGTGTTGTAAAGTCGCAATCAATGGATATAGCACACCCTGCCGAGTACATTTCCCCAACAAAATCCAACCGCCAAAGCTCATCTACTCAAAAGGTAAACTGCATCAATCCCGGATTCAACACAAGCGGCAGTAATGCGTGCGACCCTGTCCACCCAGAATGTCAGCAAAGAGTGTGCGAGTCGATGGGAGGGGTAGATGATAGAGGTGCTGGAAGGTCAGCTGAAAGGAGAGAACTCGGGCAGAAAGGCAGGAGGAAAACGGCAAAGATAAAAATAAAAAACCCACCGACAACCGTGGCCAAAGGCCAAACCGCCGTGAACCATGCAATCTGCCAGTCATATGGCACCAGTTTCCCTAGCGGACCGACGCCAGCGACCACAATCATTCCCAAACTCATAACGGCACAGAAGATGAATGTGAATCGAAATTTCCGAAGAATGGTGGGGATCTCTTTGAAGAAGCTCGTATCGGTGGCTTCCTTGCTGGTCGCGCCCCAGGACATGTCGATCGAGAAGAGATGCGAGAGGATTGCTTGCGAGACATGAAGGGATATGCCTCCCAGAAAGATGGTCAGAAGCGGAATCCAACGGAAATTCTCCCACAGCGCCGAGAGGAGGGTCTGATCTTCGACTCTGTAGCGCATTACTGCCAGCGCGAGATTGCCAAGGGCGGTGAAGACAACGATGATGGCAAAATAGATTTTGAAGCTGTCAATGTAATAATGGTCCAAGTGGCCGTTGAACCAGCCAACAATGCAGTAATTGAACAGCGTCAATATCCACGCGCTCCCGATGGCGTAATAAGTTCCGATATAGGCCATAATGGTCAATTTAGACGGGAATGGCATCGAGCTCTTGATGAAGTTGCGGAACAAGGGAGTAAAGGGGCCCTTGGAGAGCCATTGGGCAAACGGGTGGAAGATGAGTTCCGAACAACCATAGGCGTATTTCTCCCAGCGGGCGAGTTCGTCGTAGACCGTCAGAGAGACACCTTCTTTGAAGCCCTGGCCGGCATAGGCTGCAAGGCGGAGGATATACCCAGAGGTTTGCAGACGAAGAGCCATATCAAAATCTTCAGAAACCGTGGCTTCGCTCCAGTACTTCTCCTTGATGATACCGTCGTTGATATCTTCGTAGATATAGGCAACATCTTGCACAGCTGACCAGCGTAAAAAGGCATTGTGACCGACAAAAGGGGCAACATCGCCATTGGATACTGCGTAGCGGATGGCTGAGTACACAAGATTTGTGAAGAAGGTGATTCCCTTTTCGAACCACGAGTCTGTGACGTTCATTACACCGCTGGCAAACTGGATGATCGCGACCTCTTGGGATATTTCCATTTCCGAGACTGCGCTCAGGAAACAGTCTCGAGGAACACGCGTGTCGCTGTCTATCAGCAGGATGTAGTCCCCCACGCGAATATTGCCTGACGCTTGCGTACGACCTTCGTCTTCGGTAACTATGGATGCAAGAGCTTCATAGTACACCTCTCGTTCTTGCTCCGTAGTCCAGGTGCCATCGTCCGGACGTACGATGGTCAACAGTTTGTCTTCGACTCGAGCAGAGACGTTCAGGGCATAGTTCATATTGGATGCCTTTTTGAACTTACCAGCTCGGATAAAAGGTCTTTGGCTGGAATCTGCGGGCTTTGGATCGTGCTTTGGTCTCGACACCCACCCGATGTTATGTTCGTCGTAATAGTCACGTCGTTCTTGGGCTTGCTCGGCGGGGATCAGTTGCATACCATCATCGTTGATGAAGATGTTGGCAGTTCCCCCTTGCATTTCATAAGTCGAGATAGCCTCTTTGATGGATTTGATTGTCGGGTCGATCACGGACCAGAGACCCTCTTTGTAGACTGGACATTGAATAGTGACGTGCGGCAAAGTATAGCTTCCATCGGTGGGGAGGCGCGGGGGCGGCATTCCAGAGTAAAACTTGGTATTGGCATTCATTTGACTTATGGGACCTATGATCTGGGCACAGCAACCAGCAACTGACTGCATGAAGAATAGTGCAAGCCAGCACTGAAGGGGGACGACGGCAATGAAGGCCAGTCGCATCCAGGAACGGTCAACCTTGATTTCAATGGCGATCTCGCGCCAACCACTTCCAATGGCAGCAATCAGCAAGACCAACGTGATGGCAGTTAGGAGTGGTTGGATGAGAACAATCCGACGAGGTAGCAAGCTCTGTCCCATGTCGGCAATTTGAGACGATCCTTCTTCGTCGTTGGCCTTGTTGAGGTTGAGTGTGCTGGGCATGGCACTGGGAAGATGAGTAGAGGATTCATCGTCTTCGCATTCTTCCTTCCAAATCATGTTGATAAGTTGGTCTTCTATTGACTGGACACGTTTGAGGATGTGATTAGGATCGTCATCCCAGACGATGAGGATATTATAGGTTCGAATGAACGCTGCGAACTGATGTTTCTGACAGTCAGGAAGGTGAGAAATGTTCGGGAGGATTTGCAGCCGGAGGCCAGAGTCAAGCGGCATGTGGGTGAGTGCCTGATCTTGGAGGAATAGTTTGACAACGCCTGTGTTGACTGTCATGGCACACTATCAAGGTTGAGTCAGTAAGTAGGCACCTTGCGACCATCAGCTTTCCCTACCTTGACATTGAGCCTTCTTACTGCATCATAGACTCCTTCAGGGCGAGAACGAAGGTCTTCGGGGGCACACTTGTAGTCGTTCTTCGCTTTCTTGAGCATGACCCCTTCTTCAATGCCATTGGTTGACCACATCCGCTCCAGTTGCTGCTGGTACAGCCAGTTGCACATCATGTCAGTCTTCAAATCTCGCAGTTCCGGTGTTGAGCTGTTACGAAAGTCACCTTCAGGGTACAACAGAATCCTCCTACTTGAGTCATGTCTTGACGTGGTCAGACGACCCCTAGCTGAAGATGAGCTAGCTGGTCGAGCCTCACTGGAGGAGTCCGGGGTTGCCGGAGGGCTTGGGACCATGGGCAAGTCGAAAGTCGATGTCCTCGCTTGGGATACATTGCCTATAACGATAGTAGGCGCTTGAGTCGAACTCGAAAAGGAATACTGAATGTCCGAATGGTTGCGCCGTTCGTTGTTGTTGCCGTCCATACCGTTGACTGACAACCCGAGAAAGCCTTGGTGGTTGCGTGGTTGAGTCTCGATGAAGGTGTGTAGAGGAACAGAAGAAAATGTAGGAAGAAAACAAGTAATAAGACCGGTTCATGTACCCAGAGAGCCCTGGGACAGCCTGTTTTCGACCGGGCACGTTCATGAAAGACTTCCAGATTGATGCACTTGTGCATGAGATATTTATTTCAAGCAGTAGGAACAACTCGAACCTGAGGCTGAACTTGACCCACCTGCTAGGGGACGGTCCTGACAGGTCTAGTATGATTGGAAAACCCGTCCTGTAAGTCACAGAGACACCACCTTCGGAGATATATGACCAAACACGAGACAAGGATTGAAATGTTGGGAGTAGAGCTCCATACCCCAAAGCACGAGGATGGATGTTAGGCAAGTTTGGACCTAGTCGGCTGAGCAGATCAGAGCTTAGTAGCAGATCCCGAAGTCCTTTGATATCATGATCTCACAATCTGTGCGGTCGAGG